TAAGTTCTGATAAGATCAGATCTGATGAGTGCAATTTACTGTTGTCCCGATGTATTTTTATGAATTATGGTATCCGACTTATGCTTATGTCCAAAGCCCCAATTATTCCACTGCCTAAAAAATCAATTCGTCACTGATTTTCGACCCATCTTTATCCTTTCTTTTCTATCTAAGGTCCTTGAACGCCTTGTCCATGATATATATATATATTCGTAAACATAAATAAATTACATTTGTGATTTACGTCACTGTCTTTCACACTTCCTTCGAATCCTGTCCATCCAAAGGTTATCTGGAAGAGATCCTCTGAATAGGCCGCCCATTGTTACACTACATTTAAATGACTCTGTATTCATAATAATCTATTCAGTGGTGTACAATAAAATGTTTTGTACTGTGTATGTCTAAAACCGCGTTGTTTTATCGGTAGTGAAATTTTACCATAGTTAAGTCTTATAGAGTAAAAAAAAAATTTTTTTTGTCAAAATTTGACACATTTACTATGTATTTGACGAGGCATTCACTATAGTCAAATTTAACTATCAATGAAACAGCGCGACCTTAGGATGCTCTAAGCTTCCAATTCTGTAGTGTGTCCTTAGCCTAACACGAGTACATAGAGTAGTGATTAATACGATCGTTTGTCATCGCGTGCCGTCACGTCACGGTTACGGCGACGTTCCGCTAATGTTACCAGTCCATTAGCCGATACATAATTTGGGTGTTATCTTTTCTTTGATTGCAGTAATCGATAACGGTTACATTTTATGTGTAATAAAATCTATTATTGTTTTAATAAAATTGGGTTATACTCCAACCAGAAAAGACTTTCAATCTTTTTAAGAGACGTCTGGCACAAGCGGTACAACTGCAGTGCTGTTCTGTAAGAACAAACTCTCTTCTCCCTCGGAATCCGCAGTGTGATTTAGATTTAGAACACGAAATTCAAATCACACCGGGGAATTTTGCGGTGAAAAATGCGTTTGTTATTTGTTCTTAATAACACCGTAGATCTAGCTGTAAGGCAGTGGCCAGCGTCGCTTTTTCACGTTGCAGGCCGATAGAGAGAGGTAGGGCATAGCGAATTTTCCGCTCAAGTTGGAGCGCCCTTCTGGTGAAGTAACCTTCACCTTACAGAAGAAAATACAATAACACAGTCTTTTGGAGGTGTTGCGTTCTAAACGGTGAGTAAGGTTGCAGGGCTCCAATGGGAAGGGGATTTGGTCAGTGTAGGCAGCGGAGAGAGTGATATTTTTTTTATCGCAAGCGTCTAGATAGGCTATGGTGGCCGCTTACTGTCAGGCGGGCGAAATGCTTGTTTACCATCCTTTTAACATAATAGAGTCTATCTAAGACCTAGACGTAGTTGAATCTTTTCTTGTATTTTTTTCTTTTGTTATAGTTAATCATTCCGTTAGCATTGCACTCTTGTACTTATAATACATTTTTATTTTAAGCATTAATCTACTGAATTTATAAATGAAAAGAAATATTTTCTTACTAGAAAAAAATCAACTCGGTCAATGTTTTAGGTAGACTAGATTTGAAACAGCGTCTTTCGCTATCGGCCTGCAATATGCAAAAGTTGCTTCGGACAGCTAGATCACGTGTGACACTTGCGGCCATCTCTTAAAATGTTGAAAGTCTTTTTTTAGATTGGAATATAAGCCAATTTAAAGCAAATTAAGTATAGATTGTATTACACATAAAATGTTCACGTTATTAATTACTGCTGAATATCTTATACTTATTTCAGAATCTAATAAACCGTGATGGTCAGAAAACGTGAGCAATATTTAACAGTCTTAATTCAGGATGGTTCAGCCTTTGCTGCCCCATTCCTTGCTAGTATACAAAGTAACGAGCTACTTAAAATTGATCTGGACTCAGTGAACACAGCTGAAACTTTGCCTAGTAGCATATTGGTTATTCTGTATCTGTCAATTTGATTTATTTTGAACCCTAAAAAATTCAAAATAAAATGATTTTTTTACACTGCGAGGTAAACGGACTATAACTTACTCTATAGTCAGTATATAACAAATAAACTAACCACCAATAAATAAAGAAATTAATGTCAAATTGAAGAGTTCATAAATAAAAGAAGTTTCGTCCAATGTTGCTTTGACATTTGAAACAATCTGGGCTGAATTTGAATTCTTTCTAGTAAAGTTTTCACCAACAATAAGCTTGAAATGTCATTAGTCCAGTAGATTAATATATTAAAATGAAAAACCATATAACTTACCCCATTATGGGTTGAAAGCTTCTTAATCGTTACAAAATCAAATAATTTACAATAAGTATCACAAAATAGATCTATATTTTACGAGTTTTCTGCTGGACTGACTAATATGATAATTTTTGACAGCCTTGATGGAATTGAATTTCAAACTGAATAAAAACCACAAAGGAACATTTTAAAATTAGTGCTAGCCAACTGGCCAAGAAAATCAAATAAGGAGGAAATAACCAAGGAGAACGGTTACAGTCAAGTCGTTATAACAGTTTGACGCTAAAAATTACTGTGTTGGTTGAGTCCAGATACTGAGATACATGCAGCTTGGATCCATTTTTTCGCAAAAACATGAAAAGCTTATTCGTTGATGAATGATGAAAAGAAGCACGACCACTAAAAAAAAGAGAAATTGTTATTGTTCTACTTTGGTTTTCTGTAACGTGGAAGTTATTTTCTTAAAGGGTTTCCTATTAATTCCTTACTTCCTTCTTTTTTCACAGATATTATTCCTATACCTAATTGAAAACAAAAGAATATAATTTCCAATATCTGTTTATAATTTAAGCAAGCTGTTAATCAATATTTTCCTAAGTATTATTTGTAGAAGTAATTCAATAAGTATTCATAATCTTGATATGTATATAAAAATAAATTATTGTTTCCCTTGGTTACGCTATATAACTTGTGAACAACTTAACGGAATTCATCCATCTTCTTTCAAAGTTATCTAATATTTTTTAAGAATTTTCTTATGGCAAAAAATTGAGAAAATTGCGGTAAACTAAAGTTAACAGGGGCGAAATCGCGAGCATAAGCCATTTATAAATACAATAGCACAAGAACTCTTTTTAATCCATAAAAGTTAATTTTATTTAAAAACTAAAGATTACAGTAGGCATCGGTTTTTTACAAATCGGTATCATTTACTCTGGTGTTTAATGATTACTAGGAGCTGAAATACGCGCTCTTTAGCAGCGCTGCTGAACTGGAATCGGGGCGATAAGAAGATTTTCGTCATAAAATAAATTCGCCGCTCGGGAAGGACGCGCCACAAATTCATACCTATACGATATTAAGCTATAGGTTCTATAAGTTACAATACTTGACATCCAACTGGCGATACCTACTCATACGTTATAAAACGATAACGCAGCCTGATTAATTTATTCAAGTATTGTAATTTATTAGGGTGGTGTACTTTGAATGCTTCCGTTGTCTGTTACGAAGCTCTATCTAATTTGATTGGGGATAGGTTGACACATGAAATATTCACAGAATGTCTATCAGTTTTTAAGCAAGGTAGGGCATAGCGGATTTCCTGCTCTGATTGAAGCTCCCATTTGGAGAAGTCACCTTCACCTTTTATTTTTTATACACCAATTAGCCTAGCCCCAAAGTAACCACTATAAGGCTTGTGTTATGGGGTACTAGGGTAACGGATAGGATACATATACCGTACATTTATAATAAGTATATTTTTATAGAAATACATATTAAACATCCATGACTGGAGTACAAATGCTCGTATTCATCACACAAACATCTGTCCACACCGGGACTCGAACCCGGGAACTCTCGGGTCGGTCGACCACTCGGCCACGGAGGTCGTTGGACTTACACCCTTTTAACATAAACAAAGAAAAAAGTTACTTACTGTTACTATGACAATAAATAATAATAAAAAATAAATATGTAAATGGGATTTCCATACCTGAACCTACATTTTCTCAACTTCTTTTGCTCGGTCCCGTTTTAAATATTCTTGACACTTAATCTTAACATTTTAATCAGTCAGTTTTAAGGAAATTCTATCCGTCCGTATAGTCAGCGTGGTTCAGGGACTATTAGCAGGTACTACATAGAATGTAGTATTTTGTTTTGAGTATATTTTCGTGATAATATCTTTAAACATTTTTTTTTAAATATTATTCTTATTTTCGTGTAAGGGACTACATGTAAACGGCGATAATATTTTCTTGTCTACTCCATAGAGTTAGTTGTTGTTAGACGGATAAGTATTTCAAAAATATTAGAATCCCTCAGTTTTTAGTTCAATTTAAATGTTGTTAAATGTACCCTAAAATTCTAAATTAAGTTTGATATTAGCTTTAAGTGATGAGCAACTACGGAACGATTAAAAAACAATTATTTTCCGAAATGCACTTAGACAGATTTTTTTCAATTATGTTTTACATTTTAGATTATCCTGATCTATCTATATTATAAACGCGAAGGAGTCTGTCTGTCTTTCTGTCTGTTACCTCTTTACACTTTAACCACTAAAATGATTGGGGTAAAATTTGGTATAGAGATAGTTTAAGTCCCAGGATAGGACATAGGATAGTTTTTCCCAGGAATCATATTAAGGGGGGTTAAAAGGGGGTTGGAAGTTTGTATCGGAAACCATTTTTTTCACACAGACGATGTCATGAGTACTACAGGAAAAAACGTATGTTTTAACAGGTCACATAATCCTACAACAAAAAAAAAAAGATTAATTGTTGTGTTTCACCAATACTACGCAACTTATTTAGCTGTCATAAATTTAACAATATCATACTTAATGGGCAAGGGCAAACAAAGCTTAAAGGTTTTGAAAAGAGTCGGACCTCGAGGGAAAATTTGCGAGCGAACAGATTTCCTGTCTCCCTGGAAAATTCCAAACATGGTACGCAGGACAGCGGGTGGGGTGGGTATGGAAGGGGGAGGGATGTAAACACAAAGCTTTAGTCGAACCGGCGCGGCTGCAGTCACGTGGCGCCCGCCGGGAGCGCATCACTCTTAAGGCGCCATCGCCGGAAACCGAAACAAAACACACCCGACAACAAACCATGAAAGTGTTAAAAAAGTGAAAAAGGTTCTAAAACAACAACCTTCCTATATTATACAACGCAAGCGACACCTTTCAAATGTCACCTTAAGAGTGATGCGGTCCTGTGTACTTAACACGTGAACTCTGAAAACTTTGATTGAACGATATACATGTCAACAAATACATATGAAATTATTATTGTATTGTTTTAGAGTATTGTATATAATACAACAACCACTCTAAAGAATATCAATACAAAACATATCAAATCAAAATTACCATATCTCATTATAAGAATATATTATTCGTACCACTTAGGGAAAATATAATTATGTGTTGTAGAGATAACGTAATTAGCTACATTTATGTCTTAGTTTTCTAAATGTCTTCATATCTACGTGCAATATATTTATCCTACTCAGGTGAGTGACTTGGATTATTATAATTATATATTTTAATTACTGAACTTTATTAATAACAAATGGATTCCAAAAGTAGATTTTTTTTTAACATGTCACATAAAGATTAATTATCTTATTTAGTTTTCAATAATTTAATTATGATTTTTATAAAGTGAAAAATCTTGAATAATTTCATAAAATTAAACAATTAATTAATAAATAAAACAATTTCTTTTCTATTGTTTAATTAGTACTTGTTTTAGGTACTTATATAAGTAAAATGTAGGTATCTCTAAAAAGTAGTGACTGATTTGAGCATTTTATTTTTTAATTGAATTTTCAATGTGTTTTTTGAATATTCAATTATAAAATAAAATTGCAATGAGACATAATTACGCTGTTACAGACTTTTTATAGATCTTTTACAGGAGAACGATTCCGTAATACTTATTTTTGTGTAACTTTTACCCGTTTCGCAGCACACGTAACGGAAGCTCACAAATGGAATTTTTTTCCCCATTATCCCCATATCGAATATAATTAATTATTATATTCGATATAATCTTGAGTCAAATCTTATTATTGTTTTCTCTGCAAATAATTTTGTAAAGCTGTTTCTATATTCCATTCAATGTCAGGGTAGTTTAGAAAGCTGCTGTTGGCGATTGGCTGGTAACCAGGTCCTTTTGTTTACGGAAAACATATTGGGATGAACCAATGGCAAAAAAAAATGTAGTTAAATTACCTAAATAATTTTTTTTATTTACGTTTAGCTACGGAAGGATATTTTATCCCTTTTACCGAGTACTTTGATGGATTACCAACTGTTGCTACCTGCAACTAAATCGTGCATAAAATGTGCCTGAATTGTGTTTTTTAAATAAAATTTTATAATAAGGTTTTCATGTTATGATAAAAATTAATGCCGGACACGGAGAAGGCAAAAGTAGCAGTTGCAAATTTTTCAACGTTGATAATAATAGTGCTAATGCTAATTATTAAGTTGTGGGTCGTCTATCTGACAAAGCCTTGTTGCTCCAAAATACATAACAAACTTGGCATAATCTTCTTTAAATTATTATTTTTGTATATCCAATTTATACATATATCCAAATTCACGCGAGCCGAGTGAGCGGCGGCCGGTGAAGTGTCAGTCACCTGATATTTAAATAAATAAAACAAAGGAAAGGAAAAGTTAAATATTAATTCTACGCCGAAAGACGATTCTGACCGTGAACTTTCTGCGATACGGTGGTTCTGCTTTTTAATTATTATAGATATTAAATGTATGCCTAAAGATGATCCTGGTTTAAAAAGTTATTCATTTGAATGTCTGCTAAATAAGAGAATGACGATATAACGATCTTACGCAATCCGCTGATATGCATAGTAATATTACAACATTACAAGTTCTGCGATACAAGGTACACCCTTAAGGTGTCATTCTTTTATGCATGATTAACAAACATTTAAACTTTCAAAATATATTTCCATGTAACGGTAGGATATTGCAGCACTTTTATAAGTGTAATATAAGAACTTTCACGGAAAAATAAAATTAGAGAGTGACTCTAACGAAGGTAAGTACATGTTGGAAGAGCTCCCGCTACAGTTGAATTTTAATTTTCTTTTATAAAGCTTGCATAACAGCTGTGACTCTGGAAATATTTTCTATAATTAAAACGTATTGATAAGTTTTTAATTAAAAAAAAACCCTGCATCGTAAGAATCGTATCATTTGATCTTATTGGATGTAAGCCCAGTGTGTTTCATAAATTAATGAATGCAACTGCAAGCTCGTAATCAGTGTAGAAAGCTTTTGTCCCCGCGCCGCCGCTAATCGAATAAGCGGACCGCCCCAAAACATTTCAACTACTATACGTCAAGTGATGTTTATGTCAGTATCAGCTTAATAGGGTTATTAAATTTAACGTTAATTTATTCAATTTTGTAGGGTCTGTCGAGACAATGGAAGCAGGGGCGGGGCCAACCACGCCCACCTCACCTGGATACATTTCAGATCATTTTTAGTATACGCGTTTGTTACAGTATTGATCGAAATTCCTTTATTAGTGGAAAAGCTCGATATGGTCGCCTGTTGTGACTATAAGCTGACGGCAATTTTTAATTCTGTTTTTTTAACGAAATAATAATTACACATATTTCTTTAATGTAAAAAATATGTATGGCAATATAATAGGTAGGGCATAGCAGAATTTCCGCTCGAATTGGAGCGCCTGTCCGAGAATGTAACTCCTATTTTAGAGGAGACCACAGTGAAAAAATCTTTTGGTGGTGCTGTGTTTCTGTCTGTGAGGTTCTGGAACCTCACCGAGGCTCCACGGGGCAGGGGATTGGGTAAGGTTATAGCAAAGTCTTTTTTTTACATTTCTAAAATACATAATCAATATATTTTTACATTAAGAATACATCGAAAAACCACTAAAGTTTAAATGGTGCGTTACAGTTCGCCGCACATCACAATTCATCATTGTCACATAAAATATTATTTAAAAACAACATTTTAATCGAAATGCGAATCTTTAAATTCTGGGTCCATTTTGTTTATGAGACGAGGTAACAAGTGATCTACAGTGCGTCTGCCGTAGATGTTGAGTGCCGTTGTCGTGGCTAGCAATTTTCCCATTTACTACTAGTGTTGGCATGGCACCTACTCCAAATACTAATATGTCTAAAGATAAAAAATGATTATTATTTTTCACTTTTCGGCATTTTTTTTGTGAATATCATTGACATGAATATGATGTTTAATACTTTTATAAACACACAGAAAAATCAACCATACAGAAAATTGCGATTCCTATTCAACTGGAAAATTCGCTATGCCCTATCGAGTTTTTGCTTTTATAAATGTGTGAAAATAAAAGCAAAATCTTTAATAACATTAATTATAATTTATTTATATTTGTTTCGTGATTTCAAATAAGTAAGGTGGGAATAGACTCGGTAGAAACAATAAAAAATATGTGTTAATTATTACTATAACGCGAAATTATTACGTTAACGTTTTCTAGTAGAAAACCACTTTATATCATTTCCTGACCACACAAAACTAAAAAAATATCGTCAATTAGTCATAGTATAACAGAATATTATTTATAACTCATAGGAATTTTCTCACAATAAAAAAAATATTTACCTATTTACAAATAAATAGTGGCCGATTATAATTAATAACATATTTTATTATAAATAAATAATACAATAAACAACTTAACCTAGATTACAGTGTTATTGTTATCTCTAATAATTGAAATTATATTTTTTTAATATACAAGTCCCTTTACTAGGTATATATATTATATCCAAACAAAATATTACCAGAAAATTCCACGAGGACCAGGCAGCAGACGGGACTCAAACCGGCATCCTTCGCTATCCGGGCGAATGCACTGACCATTATGCTACAGCGGCCCTGACGGCCATGTCGAAATTTTTCTAGCCTTTCTGAAGCAATATATATATTGAATTTATCGTGAATTATGGGTTTTATAATACAAGTATTGAAGAATTCTTCTTTAAGAAGTTGAAATGTGGACTGTTCGCTAACTGGCAGTACGTTACAATATTTAAATAACAAGCTTTCGTCTGAGGCTAATTGTTGTTTTACTAAGGCGAGATAACTCGTTTCAATATTATTACTTGTAGATTATGAATCTAATCCAAATAGGTCTATAGGCTATGGTGGCCGCTTACCATCAGGCGAGACATATACTTGTTTACTAGTTTTTTAACACAAATGAAAACATTTGCGGAGATAGTGAAAGTATATGGACACCTAGGAGCCCATCTTTGTCAGACGGCAGAGTGGCGGTTATTATTTATAACTAAAATTATGATTATGAACTTTGGTTAGATTGTTTTCTAGTGTTATTTCTCTATATAAGACGCAAACGCCTGACTCGTTATGAATAAAATACACTACATACATAATATTTAGATTGTGAAAGGCAGGATATTTTAGGCCGTTGACAATAATTTTGGTTCCTGTGGGATTATGGATTGCGGGTAAATTTTCTGGAAAGTGTTTTAAACCATTAATGGTTTTCTAGTATATTTTTGAATTCACATGTCCTCGCATGTCTCATTGTTCATGTCGTTGACGTAAACATTCATTATAAATTCATAGAGCATGAGCAATATTAGAGTAAGTTCCGTACCTGAAAAGGAAAAAACGGATAGGATCTCTTTGTTGTCCGTTCGTCGGTCCGTCTGTCAAGACCGTTTTTCTCAGGAACGCTTGGAGATATCAAACTGCAACTCATATCTAATACTCAGGTCTACTGTCCCTTGCAGCTGTGAAAAAATCAAACTTCTAAGCCAAAGCGATCAAAAGATACAGCCGTTTATGCCGCAAATTTGCGCAAATTTTCGAAACTCTCACGGGAATCAAAACCTACAGGGTACTAAGAATCTTGAAATTTGGTACGAAGTAACGTCTTACAATGCAGATAGAGGATAAATTGAGAAAGCCGTAAATTTTTAGTTACATCATATAATAAAAAATATTTTTGAAAATTCCGGTTTGTACGGAACCCTCGGTGCGCGAGTCCGACTCGCACTTGGGCGGTTTTTTTAAGTAGTTTGGTGTTCTAATGTGAACAGTTAAGATAGATTTGTCAATATATTTACCTACTTGAAATTTTTGTTAATATGCTTAGAATTTAAAGCAAACAAGTACCTAGTGTATAAAGTGTTTTCTAACCACTAAATGTCCTCGATGTTTCAAGATATTTCACTGCGGAGACGGTTCGTGTAATCGGGTCCCGCAGGACCGATTTGTTGGCAAACAGCTTCGACATCGGAACGCAGTATGGGAAATGTATTTCAGATTGTTTTGCTGTTGTTATCTTTTTAAAATGTATTTTATTTATTTGAATGGGAAAACTTACAGCTATTCATACAAAATTTGCATTAAAAAATTCAACAACTATAAGCCATTAACCAGTTTTTACTTATAAATATGAAGAAATTTTAAGATTGATAATTAAATTTTACAG